ATCAAGATAAACATTTTGCATCGAAATCTCTCGCATCTGGCCAATATGGTTTGAGGAAAAGGGATAAAAGCCTCGGGAAGAAGAATTTTTTCTAAATCCTTACCTACAATACAATCATCGTAGTTAACTACATGCGGTTAGCTTCACTTAGAAATGAGGCAAACTATATGAGAATATATACACAGATAAATATAATGATAAACACATGACAGCTCTGTAAATCGTAGAAAAAAAATAAATCGAACAAGTGATGGTTTGAATTATACAGCCATGAAGTATGCCAATTGGAGGCTCTTTTCCAGTTCAGATACAATATCACGAATGAGACCTCAAAATTAAAAGCTCAATTCAAAACACAAAAGAGGGATCCAGAAAACATATGGCCGCAACCAAAATAGTATAGTTGCAAACCTCGATAGTGTCAATGTTATGATTAGCTGATCTTCAAAACAATAACGCAATAACTTGATCTCATGCATCAATCCTTGAGATGATAATTGATTGTAAAACGTATGTACATATACAAGCAAATAATATCGCTCACCAGTGCAATTAAATAACTCTATCACCTAAGCGAAGCTGTTTGCACAAAGAACATATCCCTACATGACAGATAGAAACAACAATTCTATTAAAGGTTAAGCCAGTTCTTCGCTGGGTTTTATTCAGAGCAGGATGGAGCATATAATCATGCCCCAGCAAAAACCCTGTTGTTGATTCACAGGAAAAAACACTTAAGGGCATTTGTCCAATATACACTGGTGGCTAAGCAAAATTCTATGCTAAATTATAAGCCCTAATATTCATTCAAATTTTCATCTAATAAAGTCAAAAGTAACTCCATAGAATTTTGATGATATCAGAATTTGTATTACCATCTACATTTCAGGCACAAAATGCAAGAGTATGCTGAGTAAATGGAGCAATGTTCAAGCCAATGGCTGGTGGCGTATTATAGGGTTATATTCAGCCCTAAAGAGATCCAACTCCTTAAACCATATAAACGAACGTCACACTACAAAATGCAAAGCAAGCACGCATACCTACAAATAAATACAGCTAGTAACGCAAGGAAGCATGCATCTACAGAGATATACAATCAAAACACCATATCACAGCATTTTTTGCATTCACGGAAAATAGCATCCTCACAAGGAAACTAAGTATTGAACTGAAATTAATTGTATGGTTTTGTAGACAGATGGGAGAATGTGGTCGGTAAGTGAATGCCTAAGCATGGTTCAGTAAAGTCATGACGACCCAGGAAACTTGTAGCAGCGATGTTAAGCAAAATTATGATGAAAACAAAAGTGAATTATATATGGTATATGACCATCACACAAAACCGGGAAGGGGGAAAAGTAATAGAATTTCCTGAAATTTCACTATGTTCACAGGCACCGGGAGAAACCATGACGTGAGTGACGCTGTATCTGCGAAAATAGGGAAATGAAGAGCGAATCAACGCGAGTTCGTAAGATTGGCCACTCGAATGGGGCCAGAAATTAAAAAAAATAAAGTTTGCTGTGCAACCATAGAAAGAATGCCAGGGGAAGGTAAAAATAGTCAGAAAACTGACGTGAAATGCCATTGGACAAATAATAGTGAAGTTAAATACATCAGTTCGTGACCATCTAGCCTTGATCCAGCTAAAATGAGAGTCCTAGATGATGCAAAAAGAGCCCCACTTAATATATACGAATAAATTATGAAGTGTGAGAATAACTTAACTCGGAAACGGATTAAGAATCTGGAAACAACCGGTCAATCTCAATCGTCATCCAAATGAAGTGTGAAGCTGACTACAGGCTTGATTCTTACTTGCTGGATAGGCATCGAAGTATCTTCTCCGAGAGCGCATTTAGTTTTGCGAGTAAAAGATTTATTCTTATCTACATCCATAGCCATAAGCACTCGACTCGAAGCAGCACCTTCTGATGCTGCCTCTCTCTCTTTCTTTTCTTGAGCTTCACTTATTCTCTCCCTTTCCACCCTTTCATCTCCTTTGCTATCCCTCCTTTCCTTCAAACCACTTTTAAGTAGGAGTGTTGGTCTAAAAGTTTCGGTCTGCCTATCGTGTATGGAGATCGGCGGAGTACAGAAGGCCATCTTTTTGTCTAAGAGAGGGCCACTGCCGAGATTAGAGGAATCTGTGTACGAATAACCGAGTTTGGAGATAGATAGAGTCCGTCCAAAGGAACCGTTACCGGCTGAAGATACTTCAGAGACCCCGGATGACCCTACTTCGTAAGACGTTAATGAGGAGGCTTGGATGAGCAATGATGACTTATCTAGCGACTCTGAGGATAGGCTGGCGCTCACCTCAGAGCAATCGGTCATGCTGTAGCATAAAACAGCTTCCGAGCTACTGTTGTTGCGCCGCAATGTGCTATCAGGAAACTGGGACCATGCAGTCAGCGATTCTATAGTTGGCGATGTTGAAGTGATTGAATCGGAGAAGGCAGAAATGACAGTGGTGGCAGCGGAGGTAGAGGCAAAAGAGGTAGTTATTACACCCGTAGCACTAGTAGCTGGGGTAACGGTTAAGGCGCTATTGAAAACAGCGATAGCAGAAGATAAAGCACTTTTGGTAGGAGCCTCTATTTTGGCGTTTGCTGCGGCTATTGGAGTGGGCTCAAGTGTGTCTGAATCAGAAGTATAAGGACAAGTTTCTGGAAGTACTGTAAGTCTCGACTCAGCCGGGGAATGCCGTGTATTCATTTGTGATTGTTCCTTCAAGCTACGCCTATGCAAGCCGGAAATTCGCAGAGGCATAGATCGTCCTTTGGCACGATAGGCCGACGCAACTTCCTCAGTCAGTCCTTTATTATCCATGCCTTTAAAATCGGAATATTCATCTTCTTCTTCCTCCCAGAGAGTCTCTGTTGCAGCATCAACAGGGGCCTGGCGATCGCTAAGGCTACCAGTGTTGCAATCAAGAGGCATCGTGACTGGGGATGATTCAACTGGAACCACCTGGTCGAGGCCCTGATAGGAGCTGGTCTCTATAGGGCTTTCGATCTCAGAGCGCCGGCCGCCTGATGCTGATTTAGTAGAATGACGCCGCCGGCTTCCAGGACCGATGTTAAGGCACAGATGGCCAACCTGACCAGCATCATAATCGAGACTGGGCCTAATGTCCTGTTTATCAGGAAATCTGTTGGTTCCTGCTGAAATGGCCCAAGGTAAAAAGCAAGGATGTCGTAGGTCAATGGCCTTCCGACAAACGGGACATTGATCAATGCGCTCAGAGCAGGCGGAGCAGCAGATGGTGTGACCACATGGAAAGAAGACTCTGCTTATTGGCTGGTCCATGCATACTCGACAGGTAGTCACTTCGCGAAGCCGTTCCTGCACCAATTCCTGTACTTCCTGCTTTTAAGGATGAAGTTTATAAGATAAACTAGTAAATAAAATGAATTTGTGTATCAGTCTTCCTTAGAAAATATAGCATTATATTTATATTCTAGGTCATGCAGCAGTGTAGATGAATAATAAAGGGCTTAGAGATGATACCATACCATGAATATGTACTATTGTAAGTTTAAATATATATTTTTAAGAGTGAATTTTATCTGGCAACCTATATTAGTAACGGTCAGGAAGCGTATAATGATAAAACAAAATAAAATTACAAGGAAATCATGGTCATTTTACGAATATTCGTTACTATAAACTCAATTAGAAAAAAACCTATATAGGCAAGAGGAATAAAGTATGCCGAAAATTGATATAATCATTTAATAATTTTACTTTGGGTTGATCATTCAAGCAATGAAAAATTGAAGTCAATATTTGATGGGAATTCTTAATTACCATCACCAATGCAACTTCAGTTCTATGTTTATATGGATATTTTGTAATCTAGACTGTCTGCGGCCTTAATAAAAACCAGAAAGAATAATAAGATAGATGTGGCAGCGCATAGACGGCGAGCAAAAATAGGGTCTAAGCGCGCAATGGGTAAATACAAAAACAAGATTATTCCAGTAAAATTAGTTCTAAAAATGAGAATTTAGGCGCAAGGTCGGCGGATTTTGTTTGGGTTTCGAAGGTGGGCAATCGTGATCTTTCTAGGCCTTAAAGGTCCAAACGACGGCACCATGGCGCAGGCGCGAGGAGCGCAGATACTACGCAAAAATGCCATTTCTGAGTGAAATGAGGAAGAGCTGAGTTGATGCTAGAATATGCGTGGAAATGTTGTGAAATAGTGAAACGAGTGGGGTCCTCAAACCCAAGAAGACGTACTTGCCCTTTTGCGGAACATAGAGGGCTCTCTAATTAAAGAAATCGTGTGCTCTGTGTCTATACGCATAGGCGCAAAAACGAAAATGTATTGTGCCAAAGAAGATGCTGGACCATAAAACTAGGTTGGAAGTTTACTTAATAAGTATTCTCCCTGCGCAAGCTGGGCGCGAGGAGGAGAGCGGGAGTGAGACTTAAAATGAATTGTACATTTTTGTATACGCTTGAACTATCTAAGAATGCATTCGTGATGATGATTACATGTGCAGCTGCATTGTACAGACGAGAATCCAAAGAATTCTGAATAGCATTAAGTTCATCATTTGACTGGCTTGTATGACGTATAATGATCCCTAAATGTAAAGGTGAATGAGAGTTGGGTCAATACAGATAAATTACATATAAATATATAAAAAGAAAATATATTTCTGACAAATTGACTTCACTATGAGAAACTGTGCAGAAAAGCTAAACCTGCTGTCTTATGGATAAAGTAGTGTATTTTTCACATAAGCACAAAATAGGAAGCAAAGTATGTCAAATCTATGCTATATCTGTGAGCTTTTAAGTTATTTATATTTAAACAATTAAGCGTTAGCTGGATAAATGACAATCAAAGTGTATGAGCCGTATTAAAAACCTAATCATTCTTTGGCTGTTTTTACCATAATTGCAAAGAAAGTAAACTTTAGTAGTCTATCCTCCTCCTAGTAAACAGAAAAATATAAAAACGGCTTTTCACAGAATCGAACAATTGAAAAGAGCAACAGATAAAAGGAAAATATCCTCACTTCTTCAAGAAGCCCTATATTATTTTGTCAATATAAACATTGTAAAGTCATTTACTAAACAGATATTCGATCAGTGAACCTTCTATTGACATCGGAGATTGTTTAGACAATTAATGATAAGGTTGTATGCAACTTTCCATTTCCTGCAAAAAACCCAATTAAAGAGTAGATTTAAAAATTACTGACTTCTTAAAAAATAGCACTAACAATTGCTTTGTAATCACTATTCTGAATGATTTAGAAAGTTTAAGAAAACAGAGCCAAACTTTAAAATATGAAGGAAGTTAATTATACAATCCAAATAGCTAAGCGATCATGTTCTATAAAAAATACTTGGGGCTTTTAAACCATTTACTCTAAACGAGATTCGCCGATTTTCCGAGACAATCCTCCATTACGGCTTTTTATTTCATAAG